ACTAGGATAATGAAAGACAAAAGTACGTTATTTCAACAATGGTCGAAAGAGGGCTGAAAATTTATAATAATAATTCCCCCGAGAATCGTCTTCGCGAAACTAGAATATCAACAAAGGGATAGAATATCAATCGTGTTAACGAGTCGAATAATTTCTCAACTCATCCAAAAACTTTGGAAACCATCTTCACAAAATGGGCAGAGATCATTCACAGATTAAGAAAAAGCGCGACGGTGTTTCATTCGTTGAACTGACGTGAACTGACGTTATCCGGTGCTGGTCATCCCGTCATCGAGAGATCACAGAGAGAATGGAACGCGTGTATCCACAGTTGGACGAGTCGCGAGGCCGTTTCTAACGAAGGCAAGATAGAAGAGGCGGACAGAAGAGGGTAGAAGTGATCGAAACTTCCGGCCCGACTCATCAGCACGCGTCACCCCGTATTACGGATAACTATTCTTTCCGCTCGTTGCCAGCTCCCATTGCGAGGGGACCCCCTCGCGTAAGCGATACACTTTCAGCATCCCCAATTTTCTACCCCCGCCTCTGTCATTTTATAAAAGCAACCCCGTCGCGCGAGCGTCTCCCTTCTCGCGTGTGTCTTCCTTTCCTCCTCGCTGTGTTTCCTTTCGTCTCGTTTCGTCTCCAATCGGAACCGCTCTCGATAGGTCGGCCGGGACCATTTTCGAGGGCGAGGAGGGGGGGAGATAGGAGAAGCGAATGGAAGAGGAAAAGAATCGAAGGAATCGCGAAGGAAAATGTTCGAGATTATAAACTCCACGTGCGAAATGATTGAAATGGATTGAAATATGAGAATCTATCGTTTCGGGTCGCGTTATCATGTAAGATAAATTTTGGAAAAGGAAAATGCCAGTCGTACCGCCGGATTGCCTAACTTTTGTAAATCTTTTGAATTTAAGTAAGAGTTTTACTTTTGATCTCGATCCACGAAGCAACGGAAAAGAGGAATCGACGACGATGATAAAACCACATGGAAATGGGTCACCAGAGACTGGCAAGTACGCGAAGGTACAGTCTAACCGTCATTGTCGGATGGAAACCGAGTCGAGGCAGAAAGACGAAGAGCGATCTAAAACAGCGAAATCACTATAATCTCGCGGAGAGAGAAAGAGAGCTGAAAGAGTCTGAATCAAACGGAAGAAACTGAAAACGGGGCAGAAAAAAAAAGGGAAAAATAGAGAGGAGAAGGCAACCGAT